CAGTAAAGTGCCTTGCCCAAGAACACAACACAATGTCCCCGGCCAGGGCTCGAACCCGGGCCGCTCGATCCGGAGACGTGCGTGCTAGCTATGAGGCTACTGGGCCTCCCACGGAAGAGATCAAGAAGGTTATAGAAAATTAAACAGCTAAATGAAGAAAATAATTTGTCACTTTGCTTAAATATAATTTCACTGATATCCACAACCGGTCAAAACCAAACATGTGAATAGTTTTGATTGCTACCTATCGTACCTTGGCGCGCGGTCAACGAAGTGACATTAAGGACGAGCCCAGGACACTCTCAATGGTGTCTCTCTCTAAAAGGGAGCATGGATAAAGCGCTCGCGCGTAGTGCTTATCAAACAAATAAGAAAAATAAGAAATCACTACCCACCTGGATTAAAAAGAATGATGGCCTTGAGACAACAGAACTCAGCAGAGTCTATATGCAGATTCTTGAGCTTTTCAACTTGTTCTTCGAATAATCTGAGATTTTCTGCTGAATCGAAAGCCATTGATCCATTGCTGTTAACTGCTAATAGATCAGTGCTTGACGGAGGCGTCAGTGCGCTTATGGTCAGTGGTTGCGCCATGTGAAACGGCGAACAGTGCTGGGCAGCGTTTAATATGAACAGTTCACTCCAACACGAGCGTAGTAAGATTGACTGGTCAGGTAGTGTAAACTCTGAGAAAAATGGAATATTCTTCGCCCATTCTGCGATGGAAACCAATAGTCTTGCAGCCAGTTCAGAAGCGCTCTCCAGTCCCGCAATGTTAGCGGGAATCCCGAGGGACTGTTGGTAACGCGCGATCGTATCGGCGCGGAGTAAAAGTGTGATGTAACTTGAATAGAAGGACTGAGGATTGCGCATGTCCGCTAGACCCATTTGGAGAGAACTTGCAGTGTCGGATTGCGTTGTGGAGATGCGACCTTTCTGGACAGCTATTTACAAAAGAAAAACACATTCGATATAATCGAGAATACCTGACCGGTTAGGGCTTGGAGGCGAGGCATGGAGGTGGGGATGGGGAGGAGTGGGGCGGGAAGTTTCTCCTTTCCGTTCATTCCTTGTCGCAAGCAGCTATCATTACAACCACGCTTCAACAGATATCATTATTCTCAGTGATACAAAAGCAGCTCTTTTCTTGTTTTATACCAGAACAGAGCTAATAGTCTTTACGAGTTGTAGAAGAATAACGATTCAAAGAACTTCCCTGAATAGGACACAGAGAATAGATATTCTGGATGTTGTATCATCTTCACTGACACTTTTAATTATTTTTATATCCTTACATAAGCGAGCGTGGAGGACATCCAATCTTTGAGAAAATGAATGTCAAACTAGAGTCACCTTAAAGCTTTATCATTGCTATATAGTCCCAGGGAACAAACGCTAATGAGGCCCAGCTTATTTCTTAATCGTACTCAACCGAAATTGGAGGAGAAAACTCTCTGACGGACAAGATCTAGCTTCCTTGTTAGTACATACATACCATCCTTTCTCATGCCAACTTTCATACACTTCTTCAGCCTGCAGTACTGACAGTGATTTCTGTGTTGGATATCCACCGGACAATTTTTGAACCCCCTGCACGTGTACGAAAGATTTCGTCGAATGCTTCGTTTGAAGAAACTCTTACAGCCTTCACAAGTAAAAACACCGTAATGCTTTCCAGAAGATTTATCACCGCAAACGACGCATTCGACAGACGGTTTCGGCGTTCTTGAGCCTTCGTCGTTTTCCGAACAGTCTTCTGGCGAATAAAACTCATTTTCAAGAAGAACGGGCGAGTCGCTGCCTGTGTTCCTAAATTGAGAGCAAGAGCTTGGCGGTTGTGGCAAGCCGGCCAAAGCATTTATGTTCACGTCAAGAGCTGATGTCGCCTCATCGGTAAAAGAGTTCATAATAAACTTGAACTAGGGGTTACAGAACCGCCAACTGGAGGGGTTGATCCCTCACTTAATACAAACATGAATGTCTATTGTTGGACCATAAAGGGGAATAGCAAGTTAAGAACAAAAGCAATTAGTCACCTTTGTGTAAATTATACAATATTTACGAGGCTACCCGTTATAGCTAACATAGTTAGTGTTCTGTTGGAAGGTTGAAAACAGCTTTAGCCGTCAGTGTAAAATTAAATTAATATAGACGAAAAGCTCTGCGAACGTATTGGAGAAAATACAATCTATTTTTCAGAAAATTTGCTTCTTCGTTTTGTTTAGCGTTAGAATACTTTTTCCGAATAAGTACTCGGCTAGAGAACTTCAAATTTGAAAATTTCGATAATCCGACGAGAAGAAAATGTGTTTCGTCTATCGCCAAAAGCTGAGATACAAAGAAGCTTGCGAAAACTGTACAAAATTTGTTCAGCACACCGTATTCACAGGAGTCAAGAAGGAAGGTCTCCACTTATTTCAGTAGTCAAGTGAAGTCAAATTTTTAGGACCAAAGGGCAACATTAACTAAAACCCACCGCTCATAACAAAGTTAATAGTATTCTTAACATATATTTATTAGTCAACTTCGCAAGACCTTATTGAGATTGACAAAATAACTTGTCAAATCTTTTATATTTTCTCGAATCCGAGATCAAAAAGACAATTTTTCTTGTTTACAAAGGAAAAAGGTATCGATGTTTCCCGGCTTTCCATGTAGGTGCACTTGATTCAAGGTAAAAAATACTGGTACCTAAATATTTAATGGCTTCTAAACAATTTGTAAGCGGCTGAGGGTAAATTGAGCAAATCTCTGTAGAACAAAAGCTCGTAAAAGAAGTTGACAGATATGTCAGTACTATTATCTATAGTAGAAATATTACAACAGCTGTGAAAAGATTTAGTGTAAGTTATGACATAGTTAGTTTCGCTCCCCCACCGGTTATGTTAGAATGGATTGGTTCTGTTTTGTTCCGTCTTTTTGATTGCACGCGCTGAACCGTGAAAATTTGTAATTTAGAAGAAACAAGCTGTGTTCATCTATTCATTTGGCGTTCGTCTAGAGTTACAGTTTTCCAAGGATACAAAGGACATGAAAAAATATATCGTCTAAATCTTTGTCTATGGGAAAGCTTGCACATGAAATACCTAAACCTCAAATAAAAAACTAAAATAAAGCCGACCATAAACATAGTGTAGTGAAGTCTAACCCGGCCTATTGAAGCATGTGACTGGATTATAAAAGGTTTCATTGTGGTTTTGTTTTCAATAAAGGTGTATGTCTTTCTGGTGGCATGCTTGTTTGATTTCTCCTTGTCTTAAGAATTGTTTTAGTCGGGTTATATAATGAATTTTGACTTCGTCGACTTTGAACAGTAGAGTCTATCTAAACATTGACAGAAACAAAGTCGAAATAAACTTCACATGAAAGAACATGGTTCAGTTTGAGAGCAATTGCAACTTAATCGAAATTCCCTTAAGTCTACAACATCGGAAGCTCAGTTTTTTTTGTCTTTTTTTTAGGTTTTTTTCTTTCTGGGGAGCGGGCTGTACTATGCGGACGCGAGGAAAATTGAAGAACTACAGAAAAGCCACGAAGCAATGAATAACAATTTTTCAGTACAGAATCACTTTAATTAGTGGAAGATCCTTATGGTGAGATTTAAATCATTTTCCTAATGACCCCAGTAGCGGATCGAAAATAGCAGCGGTCTGGTTTTAACACCAAAATACAAATAAGTTCTTTCTTCCTCCGTACCTGTTTGAGAATTGTTTTATGCATTTAATCAGCTTCCGTCGATTTCAGGAGAATTTTTTTTAACTCGACTCGGTCACCAACTATCTTTATTTTATGATTTTTCAAAATTACTTGAAAGCCTCATTGTAAAAATGAGCACATGGTGTCTTGTCAAAGAATCGGGTATCGTCGTCATACCCCGGAAGACTAGGTCCGCTGAGCGTGCGCACATATCGTGGATAAGTAACTTCACCTACATGTAGTTTTTCACCTACAGATGACGCGACATCTGTAGGTGAAAAACATATGGCTACACAAATAAACAAACAATTTTGACTCCAAACTTACAAAAGCAATGATAGCGCTTACTCGCTAAATAGACTTAACATTTTCATTAAAAGTGTAAGTTTATGGAAATTTTGTTCTTGCACAAAAACTGTACCCGTAATCGAGAGAATAGCTGGTTTTCACATGACGTCACTAAAATTCGAACTACAAAACTATTGATCNTACTTTTTACCACAGCCCGAACATTCTTTAGCCGCCAAGAAAACAGCAACGGGTTCAGTGAGGAGTTTATGAAAGCAATTGTCCAGGAAACTTCGAAAGCAAACTTAGCTGCTATCGGAGCATCCATTCCGCCCTGCATACAGAAGTTGATTGCCGTGATCATGTACGGCACATAACACACAAGACAAACTACATAGACGTAGAAAATGTTAACAAAGGAACGTCTAAAACCAGCTGTTGTGATGTTTTTAGGTGAAACGTTTTGAAAAGCGGTTAGTTGATTCCAAACTTGAAGCTGATGGCGTCTGACGACTCGGTAGATTTTGAAATACAGCACAGCGTTTACGAGGAGACACAGAAATGACGAGGGAGCAGCGATAAGTTCAAAAGAACCTGGCTGCCAAGCACCGAGGGAAGAAGCAATTAAGCAAGGAAAACATATAAGGAGAACGATGTAGTATCTTACTCTACGTACGGTCACTATTGCATAGTATCTCAAATGAAGGAACACGGCGAGATATCTGTCCACGATCAAACAGGACACGATCATAAATGATACCGCACATAACAGACTGGAGACAAACATGCTTGCTTTACCAAGGAATCCAACCATTGTCGGCGTTTGACTCATGTGCTGGTGAAACTTCCATGCCATGTAGACCGGCTGTGCAATCAACGCAACACAGAGGTCAGATATCGCCAGGCCGATCAAGAAAACATTTGATGGTGATAACAGAGACGGTGTCCGTGCGAAAGCCACTAGTATAAGAAAATTTCCAATGGAGGCAACCAAACAGAAGGGAAGGTTGAAAGCTGCATTAATCAGGAAAGGAACAGTAGTAACATTCATTCTGCATGGAAATCTCCAGAAGATAATATTAATATATATATCTGGAGTTTTAACCTCTTCGAAATCAAGTCTTCCGCTGTGAACGAAGACAAGAAATAGGTCTACACATCCAAATACAAATAAAATAAGTTATGGTATGAGCAGAGCTTAATAAAATGTGATCGATGCAAATCACAATGCAAGTCGTCAATGGCTCTTTAAATAAGTCAGATGAAATTTAATTTAACTTGTTTGATTACACTCTATCCCTTTAAACAATAACCGGTTTTTTTGTTTCACTTCCATCTGATTGCCTTTCCACACAATGCTGGTTATCAAAATTTTGCCCCTTGGAAGAAGTAATGTAGCAATATTGTTTACCTTTCCTGAGTAGTTATCGACTCTGGCCTATTCAAGAAAAAGCAATATTCCATAAATTGAATGAATTTTCTTGGTCTTGTCTGTGTGATTCTCATAATTAATTTCTTTCCCTTGGTCTCTCCAGTGAACCAAAACTAGAAAGTAATATTTCAAGAGAAACAACAGACATGTCGACAAAGCTTTTGGAAACAAAAGACATTTTCATTTTTCACTCCAGTTTTAGACTTTCACAGAACTTGATTGTTTGAAACGAAAACAACGAATATCAAACAGTTTTGTTCTGGGTCGATTTCCATTTCATAGCCCAAGCCCATCTGGTTGAAAAACTTTAAAGTCTGCAATTAAAACTATACTGCATGACCTTCAGGGGTGTCTTTCAGAAAATTTTTCCTTCTCGCGTTGCGTTTAACAGAACGATCGAAAAGTATAAATCACCGTAAAGCTAACATAATGCAGAATCAGAAGAAACGATTATATTAAAGATTAAATCACTGGTTAGCGGATGCTAGCCTTCAAACGCAAGACTGACAATGTTTGTTGAACTAAATTACCCGCCTTCGAGATCGTACGTACGACCAAAGAAACTGCATCATGTTAATCAGCAATTTACGGACTTCAAATCTGTGTTAAGCTTTTTCGATATTCCCACTCGTTGATAAATTTGTTGATATTTGCCGATGTTCGTTACAAGAGACTACAGGGCTAAGAAAAGAGGTATTTGAAATATCAAAAAGGCCTCACACACACTGGCGGATTGATAATCAACGAACATTTTGGCCGAGCTTAGTAAAATCCGCCAAAGCTACTTACCCTGTTAATTCGCTTGAAGCCAAGGAATCCACGCAAAAATAAAGCGCGAGATTTTTTACAAGCCATCGCATCGAGGTTGTCGACACGGTCATGTCGCCAACCAATGAAACACAAGCTGAAAGTCCCAAAGGCATGGTTCTAATAGAAAATAACCCATTGAAATTGGGGGGAAAATACATTCACTACACAATTATTTGATGATATGAGGTTTTCATTGATATTCAGAATAATGAAAGGTGAGGTACGTGTTGGCAGACGAAGTCTGAGTGCCGAAGCCTAAGGCTTAGTTGAAACACTAAATGGCGACTTCACTCGTTCTTAAAATTCATCTTTCCTGGCTCACTTTTTTCCAGCAAGCTTCGTCTTCAAATATTCTTTAATACTTCCTTAGCTACTTTCAGAGCGAGCTGCAGCTTATTTGCTTCAGTATTCCTCCATTACCAGACCTACCTCACGATGAAATTTTAGTACTCTACATTTGAAATTTTGGACAGTCTATCGGGCGATTTCTCTTAACAAAACTCAAACTGCCTGATTCAGCGCTGGTTTGTCAACAGGGCCCAGTTGTTCAAAGAGAGATAACGTTATCCACTGGATAAATTGTTCTCAAGTGGATAAGTCGTGACAAAACCAAGTTCGCTATCGACTGAAACGACTTATTCTATGGATATTGTTATCTACCATAAAGCAACCTGGACCTGATCATTTTATGGAAGCTAATAGCGCGCGCTAGCAGTATATCATTTGACGTCAACAAATACATACATCAAAGTAAAGGTCGACGAAAACATTTCGTTGTCGTTTACAGACTCTGGCTTAAAAATGGCCGCAAAAAAGAAACACGCTCCCTCTGTTCTACTTACAGATAGGGAAAATGACATGATTCGCGACATATTAGGACAAAAGAAATACGTGAGTATTCAGTAGAGTGCGAAGATAGACGAGACCCGCTAGTTACGATTTTACTCGTGCAGTCGTTCTTCACAACGATGAAAAATTTCAACGTTTGTTTATGATAATCAATTCAGTTTCAATGAAATATGGGAAACTTTGAGGAAAATGAGCTTTATTAGATGTTGTATTAGACACAATTTTTTTTTTCCTGCGTTCTCAGGGCAAGATAAAAAACTATAAGTATTTTTAAAAACCCGTTCTACACCCGTTCTATAAAACGGACAGAGTTAACGGAACTGCTTTGAAAGAACGGAAGGGAATTACATCTTGAGGCCCGACCCATTGACGGGGAAAATTTTATCTGCCTGTCTATCCAACATTAGTACAACTCTAGTTACTAACTCTACTAGCGTTCTGACACGAATACCGTTCTTTTATTAGTTACGCTATTGACTATCCATTCAGTTTTCGATGGTGACTAGCCTTCAGTGTCCGTTTGTTAACAAAATGAAGGCTGCTTTTTGCCTTTTGGAAGTGCCTGTGAAGACCTGTGACGAAGGTTTAGATGAAATTTTGAACGACTAGTAGATTTATACTAAAGCAATTAGATTGTTTGCTCTCGATTTCTAGGCGTGATCGGTTGACGCGATAGAAATCTCGAGTTCATAATCTAATTGTTAACTATAAGTTTCACATCTATTTTTCAGTCATTAGCAACTGGCGTTGTTCAATTGTTTCTTGCTGTACCAAAGGATCGAACCCGATGGAGTCACATCGTCACAGGCGTGGCATGTCTTGTGAAAGATGCCCTCCTAAAGTCCTACTTCATAAGAGTTGTAGACCTTTCTGTAAGTATTACTAACAGCTAACTGAAATTTCAATCTTTAAATTCGCAACCAACTGAATAACTGAGATATGCTGTGGAAAGCACTGTAAACATTTACTTAAAACTCAAAGGCATTGTATGCTTTCCACTGCGATTTAAAAGCTGTTGGTTTTCTGCCGCGGTAGACCGCAAAACAGTCGTATTTTTTGCGAACGCGAGAGATGGTCAATGTTCGAAAGAAAGGTCTGGAGCGAGTGTAAAAACGGCGAGGGAGAATGGGGAGAGACGCTATGCAGCGGTGTCTGCCAGATCAATCATTTGTCTGCCTTTGACACGAGATATTTTCTCAACTTCTAATTAACTTACTGCTCTGTTTGCGGTCATGTATAGTAATTTATCAGTATTGTTTGGTTTTCTTCCGCCCCTTTTCTATGACTACTTTTAGCTAAAACCAGGAAATGCCTAAATATCCATAAAGCGCAAGTGTTACTTTGTAAACAGTTTTTTGGGGTTCCGGGTTCACCGTAATAATCTAATAGAGAGTTCAGCATGACGTTTACAGCAGACGGTAAACGGCAAAAATTACCTCTATGATTTTGTGTTCTTTTCTTCTAATCCATAACTAAATCACACAAAAATAGAAAAATGTCTCCTACTATTCACCACAAATTCAAATATTTTCACTCTACTGTATAGACAGCTGAAGACCGACGGAAAAAGTTTCATTTTTGCTGTTTGCCGTTTGACGTAACGTCATGCAATTTAGACGTTATATTCTCAGTAATTTCCCCCTGGCGTAAAAATTCTGCTCTGATCATGTGGCTTTACAGCAGAACATATGTCCTCGTGGGTAATAATTTGGTGTATATCGGCGCGAAATTTAATCCTTCTCTTAAAGCCGTAATTCAAAAGCTTTTAATGCAAGTATTTCGTTACGAGATCAAACAAAAGTGAAACTTCCTCACTCTTGTTTACACTTGTTTTCTTGCTATTACTGCAATCGAAGCCTTGTTTAGTGTGGAAAATCATTGAAGGATAGCTTTTTTTTAATAGAATGTACGATCCTTTTGATACATTCATCACAGAAGGGTCATGAAATAGACCTCAGTATCAATAATTCAGGAAACATTTAAGGCAAAGTGTGACCGACTTGTTAACAGAACGGATCTCATCTCTATACTATTTTTATTTATAAGCGCGCTTGGAAAATCGCTGTCTTTGACAACTGAGTATATATTTCCTTCTTCGCCTCAGAGTCAGGAGATTTATTGGGAACAAGAGCTGTACAAACAGTTTAAATACAGAGCAGCTACTCCAACCTTCCATACTTTCAACGCTCATGTGAGTCCAACAACTCAATTAGTGTGCTGACACAATATTATTGTTATGTATGTCTACAATATACTGTAGTTATGTCCAGTTTGAATGTCTTCTTACAACTCATTCAGCACAAATAATTTCTGAAGATATTAGTGGTTTGTGTAAAGATGTACGTTTGTACTCATTTTACTTAATGTAATATTTTATGATCATTCAGTTCATTTACAAATTTTTAAGTTTGTAAATTTTTAAATGTGTTCAAGTTAAATAAGAACTACGGAAAAACAAAAAGCTCAAGTACACTCTTTTTTCTAATAAGAATATTGTTTTCCCAGCAGAGGCTAAATATTTTTATTTTTCTGCCGATTTTAGGCTGGAAATCTTGTGAATATTCTTAGATTATAGCGTATGACATTTCTGTTTTCGAATGTATTTGGTGTCTGGAGTGGATGGTGTTAAAGTTATTTTGGAGCCAGCCTGCAGGCGTTTTAAAAGGCCTGATATCACGCAGATAACCTCTTGCAGGAATGTTATTAGCGTCCAACATACGACTAGTGCTATTTTTGTTGTTTTTTGGCTTGTTTTGCCGTTTAAAGAAACGGAGAACTTTATAAGATTTAGTTAAAAACATTGTATTGCCAAGTTTTCTCAGCAGTACAAAGTACGACGATGTGTTTGAAATTCGTATTATATTATATTATTTTGAGTGTTATATTTTCACTTTGTTCTATTTCCAGCCTAATTCTTTAATTATTCCTGTTTTCATTATACACTGTTAAACTATTTTTTGCTCATAGATCTATTGGTATTCTTGTAAACTGACGATGGATGACGTTTCATTCCAATGTCTTGTTAATATAATATGAATTTAAAACACATCGTGTGGTTTCTGAAAGCTGTATAATTGTATTTAATTTACAAATTTTCAACACACAAAATTATATGCTTTTTAAAATCTCAGCCTTATTCTTAAAATATTCTTAAAATTTTGGAAATTTCAGCCTCGATATTCTTATAAAACATGTTCTTATAAAAAAGAGAGTGTGTGTCAAGGGTGACTGTGTGTACGCACGGATAGGAACAATTAGCCGCAGGGAGAAAATTGCAAAAGTCAGGTTTAATCGAGGAGAGAGTCGGCGCCATTCCCATCATTAGAAGAAGTCAATTAACAGATTTCGTCAAAAGATTAAAACGTTTGGAGTTTGTTGCTACAGATGTCGAGAAGGAGTCGCCAAGCATGAATATGATCAGGCATGGCCATTCATAACAAATTTCCCAATTGTACAAGTTTGCATGGTACAGCATGACTGAATGTTAGAAACATTCCGGGAAAAAAAAATAGCCTCACGCTATATTGGCAGATGGAATCGAAATTGAGAACATTTCAAACTCAATATTTCCACCATTTTCCTTTCCTTTTTATAGGATTGTAGAGCGGGGTTAAACTTTTGTGACGAGCTAGAAGCGTCTGCATTTCGTTCCGCCATAAAGGAGAGAATCAAAGAGTTTAAAAGAAAACGTCAAGGTTGGTAGAAATCAAGGCCCAAACCGCACGTATCCGGATATTTTTGACTTTCCGGATTCAAAAATTTCCCCGTCCACACGTAGCGTATTCAAATCGAATTCGCCTGTCCACACGCACCCGATGGTATCCGGATTCACTCTAGAGAAACTAGGCCTACACGTTGTGCCGCCACTGTATTGGTTTATTGTTGGGTAAGAGACTGGACAAGATTTTGTTACGTCATCGGATTCGAAAATATCCGGATTCACCGTCCACACGTTATCGGATATGATTCGTTTCGGATTTAGTTTTTCCACCCTGGAGAGCGGGTTCAAAAATATCCGGATTCGCTGCCAAATTCGCCGGACGCGTGAGGACGGGGCCTAAGCTATATTTCTTGTTTTAGAGCTTCTTAAATCGCGCACCTTCCTGAAGAGAAAGAGAACATATCAGAGAGATCCTGTATTCTAACCAATAGAGAAATTAGAAACTATCCTCTTTGATTTTGCCTCGCCACAAATCGTCCAGTAATTTGGGTGTCATAAAGCATTTTAATTTCTTAAACGTCGCTTGCCTCATAAGGTTTTCTGTTTACCTGATAAAATGTTAAATTGAGTTTTAGTTTCAATAAGCTTCGAACTGCGTCAAAAACCGCAGGCAACGTGGGTAAACCAATCAAGGCAATTATGATTTATTTAAACCAACCAGCGACAAAATCATAATCGATCGTGAACATTTTCCCGTGCTTGGTACGAGTTGCACGCTTGTGCTTCCCATTCTGATTGGTTCTGATTGGTTAGCTGCGTCATCGTCATCGTCATCGCATCTGGCTGTGATCAGCCGATTGTGATAAGGTACGGACCATTATATTTTTAAGGGGCGGGATTAGGCAATTTTCTGTGGCATGAAATTTTTTTCTTACCCTCATAAGTTTTTTTGGAGGGAAATTGCCCAGTCCCCTTAACCCCCTTTCCCCTCTCCCCCCTCAAAATAATGATGGTCCATCTCTAACTTTGTTGTTTTGTTTTCTTTGAGTTTACATAGCCTGCTTCGCAGAAGCTGGGTAAATTTACGTCTGCAACGCAGCCTAAGTGCACACAGCCAAAAATCTGAACTATTGCAATTATCATTGATTGCACTGTTGTTGTCACGCACTTCGACTAGCGTTACGAAATCTCTCAATCTACTGTCACGCTTTTCAGAGGCTCGTGAACGCAAAGTACTGGCTCAGCAACAAATGCAGATGCAACAGATGCAAATGCAACAAATGCAGCAAATGCAGCAAATGCAGCAAATGCAACAAATGCAACAATGGCAGAAAATGCATCAACTGCAGAAAATGCAGTCCATGGTTGGAGGTCCTATGGGACGAGGCGTCCAGATGGTTCGGTACCAGGCTATTCCCAGCCGCGCTCCGTTTGCTCAATCAAGAATGATGAGGCCACAGGCATCCCAAATCATGGGCCGTAAGAAAGAAATATCACAATATTACTATTAAGTAGAGTGTTGTTATGTATTTAAGGCCTGACTGAAAGAGTTGGACGAGATACCTGGCATAACGTCATGGCGTTGTACAGATGGCCTGTGAAAGGGAGAGTACCCCCTTTAATTAGTTCGTACGTTTTCCCCCATATTCCGAGTATCACTGGCTGGTCCCGCGGGAAACACCGACTTAATAGCTTTCTCGGTGTAGTTTACTCAGTTAAGGCTAATGATTGTGAAAAGCATACTGTCCAAGTCTGCTTCATAAAGGCTCCAACAGAAAAGTAAACGGACAGAAGAAACCCTTCAATAAGGCTATATTTTGGCCAAACAATTGAGATGGTATTGAAGGTGTTCTTGGTTCAAAAGGATTACAGTCCTTGTGCTATTTTGTGATTGGGGGCGAAAATTCTGGGATATAAATGAGGTTCAAGACAAGACCTAAGCTATGGTGAATGGTCAGTGGTGAACAAAAATGAAAAGCTGTTTCTTGTTAATTAAGACGACAGAGATAAATTGTGTTCTTCTTCTTGCATTGAGCGTTATCCTGTTAGCATAATGTTAGACTTGTGGAGGTTACTACTCACTACTTCTTTTGACTGGGTGCAGTTCACTACGTCTTAAAAATGAATTATACAGCTTGTCGCGCACTAAAACTTCAACGGTCGATGAGAGTACAATGAAGAGACGAACATTAGATATGTTCTAACTGCTGGGATCGTGCTAGGCCTTCTCTTGGTTTGTCCGCTGTGGTGCCGGTCCCGTTACCTCGCAAAACCGTTATATCAAATAATGTTATCTCCAAACACATTGATCGTTACGTAACGCGTCTCGCTGCAAAAGATGTTACGTGACATCTAAAGCTTGCACCAATGACACTTATGATGCTTTACATTTAATCTAGCTCGTCCCAGATCACCGGGACCAATGCGCGGACAAATGGCGCCCCCGGCGCGGAGAGGAATGCCAAGAGGAATGGCACCAACTCGGAACATCGGCGCCTCGCCAATGGCTACCGTCCAAAGGCCCGCTGGACCGCAATCCAGAAGACCGCCGGAAAACAGCGGGCAAAGGAGACCTATAGCACCTATTAACGGTAAGTTTGACTTAAAGACACCAGCCAGTTCAATATGCAAACCACCGAAATTCTATGTCAGTACGTAACAAAGATCCATTATCTTTTTTTCATCCAAGTAACTTGGTTTTAGTAATAGTCCGCGCCAGTCCAATATTCCATCACGTTTTTCACGCAGAGTAGAAACAGTGAGCTAATGGTCGCAGTTGTCCGTTATTTGAAAAACATAGGTCTTGAACACGCAATTACACTTGTGTTTAATTTGTTATCACCTGTGAACTATTGTTTATTTTTCTTATCAGATTCGATGAAGCCTGAAAATGAGGCAGCTCCAGCTCCATTAAAGAGACGAACGAGAGAAGAAGAGCCTATTTATGAACGTATACCTGCGGGTGATCAATCTGTACAGCAGAAAGGTCAGTGATGGTAAATACGAAACAAACTGAAAGGGATAATGTCAACACAACCTTCACATCAAACCAAACGCACTCTTAGTTCAGAACCAAAGAGGATGAGAATCACACTGTTAAAATACCAATGATAAATATTTGATCTCGTTACAGCGCATGAAAAGGAAGTTTTTAATGGATTTGTTGGGTTTAGGTTGAACTGTTGCTAAGCTCTTTGTTGTATTAAAAGGAATACAACACTGTGCACAAGTTGCCAATTAGATTAAGGTTGCTTCAAACCTTCGCGGGGCCACATTGGTCGACTTTTTTTGGTCGAGAAAATTAAAGTCCGCGAAGCTCAAGTTTGCATACTGTGAACGCCAGGGGTTCTGTTATTTCATTGGCTAGCGGCTTTTCAAGTTGGCACATTCCTCTGTGAAGGCGTGATATGCTTATAAATCTTTAGAAGGCGAAAACTCGCACTCGTTTTTCGAGAGAATCCGTTCTCTTTAAATGAATTAATACGGTATGCAGAATTGACGGTTTTCCATGAAATTTGGTCAGAACATTCACTGATAGATATGGAACAAAAGCGTGTCCGCGAATTCCTTTATTTTAAATATTTTCCTCGTGGCGGCCTTTAACGCAACAGGTTACGCGAATTTTTCGATAGTGGAACTTGACAGATCTATAAAAAGATAACCAATAAAAATAAAAGAAAATGCTGACACGTTTTTGAAGATTGAGGCTTTGTGATAAACACTGCACAGTTATTTTGCATGAACGGTCGAATTTGATACCCGATTAATTCGCTGGAACGTCAGTCGGTCATTTTGGAGTTGATGGCCTCTGTCGCCTTTGGAAAGCAAAATCCAAAACAAAACATAATTTTATCGAATTCTACATTTTATAACCTTTTTGTTGATATATAGTTTGTGGGGGTTTCCTTCAAAACAGCGTGCGTACGAATTTTTTTCTGGAGGACACCCGCGAAGGTTTGAAGTAACCTGAAAGATACTCTGTCGTTTCGGCAAAGAAAAAATCATAAACATTACTAGAGAGTATTCCCCCGCGCGTCGTACCGGACGTGGGTACTTTCCCGCGCTGAAAATTTTCCCGTCTTCTTATTGGTAATTTCTTCGACAACATTTACGTTTCTCCTGACAGCAGTAGTGGAATCGTCAGACCGCTCTACATTACCTCCAGTTGAGCCAGAGCAAAACAAAACGTCGAAGAAACAGAAGAAAGAGAAAAAAGGTGAATAAAAGAAACCAATCATAGAATTAGATCATTCTGAAAGCTCAATTCCTTGACGGTCAAGCTACAAGTACCATTTGTGTTTCGGAATCTTTAAAAGCTCCAACAAAAGTAAAAGCTAGTTTTCCGTAACCGGACTTAATAACTTGCTTTTAAATTTCTGATGAACCAATTAATTAATTAACAAAAACAGACGAGAGGAGAATACGACGTTTTGAAGTCATCTTGGCTCCATTATCAAGTGGAGAAAATAACTTTACATGAAATAGTGTGAACGGTATGGAGTCAAGGTGACTTCGAAACATTGTAGTCCCTTTCGCTCGCTTATTTTGTAATTAATTGTATTTCAAAGTGTTTCCTTATCAGGAACGAGTGAGTACAATTTATTTCAGGTTTCTTTAGCGGGCTTTTTAGGAGGAGCGCAAAAGATTCTGAGAAAGCAAAGGACATCAAAAGGCCAGGCCCTGCTGCAGAGAAATCCATACCAAGCACACAGCAAGGTGAAAATCGTGGCGAATCTTAGTTTAAGTTTCTTTCATCTGACGTGGTTGAATGCAAAGAATAATGCTTGTAATGTTTACTAATTCTCAGCTAAGAAGACTACTTCCAATAGCGAAATATTGGTCGTTTAACCCTTTGAATACCAAACTTTCGCCAAAAAATACCGTTTTTAATAATAGTCAGGTTTTTCAGCTGCCATGACGTTAAATAAGCCTAAGTTTTGCTAAAAAAGCTTTTTTTTTTTACTAAACGGAGAGATTTTTCGAGGATTAGGTATAAAATTGAGCAAAACTTCAATTACGGGCATGCCATTAACCGTTCTCAATTTCGTTTGTTGGACTTTTCCTTTCTGTTTTTCTCTGCCCTTTTACACTGGCTACCTTTTGCATTGTATGTTCTTTCTGGCTGCAGTGAAAAGTTGGATGTTAATTACGGGCGAAGCCTAGAAATGGACCTTGATCAATCATAGGCGTTGTGGACCATTTTACCACCGTTTTTGCACCAAAACTGATAACCTTGTTTTTTGATTTGCGACGTCGGAATGTCGTCGACATCTAAACCTGACCATTGTGCGGAGAGGGCTAGCCTGGCACTACTATCTGCTTATCAAGAATATCTGATGACATTTAAATTGATGACGTCACAAGTGGTACAAAGAGCACGACCATTAATTACGCGTATATGCGTAGTTGGTATTCAAAGGGTTAATTCCCCTTACATTTTCATGGTATTAGTCTTATAACTACATGAATCTCCTGACATTGCAAGAAGTAGCGTAGAATCAGTGCTTTAGTTTTCTCGTGAATTGAGTGCATCTCTGCATTTGATCACATTTAACGCATAATTTTCTAGGGGGCAGTGACACCCCATTTTTGTGAGTTGGTCTTTATCTTACTCCAGCAAAACGTTAAAAAAACCTTAAAGGAGAAGGTCACTCCAAAAAACGTATATTTTTTTGTCAACGCTAATAAAAGCCCTGCAGTTTAGCCACTCACCGATATATGATCCAAACTCGGAGCGCGACATATAAGCGCCATGGCAGCAGCGAGCACAAAGCGCGAGACCAAAAATAAACCACATGTTCCTTTGATTTTTTTCGCACTCAGAGTGGGCCGCGTAAACGACCTTTTCTGCAGGCGACAACATTGTCAGATAGCTGAATCTGAATTTTATGACAGGAATTAAGCGAAAGTGCCGTCGGAAAAACAGATTGCAAATAGCTGATTTGGTTAGCTTTCTATCGCGACAATTACCGCGGCAATATATATATATATATATATATAAAAATGGCCCTGCCATCCTTGAAACGACGAAACCGCAAAATTTCACAGCTCATCGCAATTTCTTTTTTTCGTCAACATACGAGTTGTCTTTCTCTATAAGAACCTAGAAGCACTTTTAAATTTCTTTGGTAAGCCGTGAATGAAGACAAAAAATTCACCCAAGGGAGGATCCAAAAGCGACACAATTTCGTTCAGAGATTAAAAACATATTTTCAGTAAAAGAAAAAATAGGCTTCAGTAAATTAAAGTTTTCTTACGTACCTTTCATTTGTTCTTTCCCTTTTATACTCCAATGTCCCTGAATTGATTCTGGGCTAACTTTTGTTTCAACACAATTGTAGTATTGATCTCGATAACATGAAAGCCGCGGCGTCGTAAACAAGCAAAGACCAGCAAACCATTGCTTCCTTTGACTTACACTGAAGGCAAATAGCACACAGCAACACCATTACTTCGCACATTCCCGTGAACATTACCGTTTCTCGCGCCGATTTCCCAAAATGAGTTAGCTTGTGCGAAGAATATTGCTTGCACACGTGTTTCATTCAACTCAACCTAGAAAGAGGGCGTGTCACAAAGTTTCCTGCCTTTTTTTCATTTAACTTCTTCATTTAGAGGATACTGAAATGTCTACATCGAGCACAGGGAGCACACAATCTTACTGAATAGGAGGAGACTAAATTAAGGAATGAAAAGAAAGAATGGTTAACCTTTGCCTGTTGTTATTTCTTACGCGACCTTACAGGGAAAACCACTACCTACACCTCAAGTCCTGCGTAACACTGTAGTGCTAAACTCGTACTTAGGCCTCGTCAATGTTATATGTAAACCAAAAAAATTTTTGCAGAGCGCGAAATGGCCTAATTACGAGTTTAGCACTGCTGTGTTACGCAGGACTTGTAGGTAGCGGTGTTCCCTGTATACGTAAGGTCGCGTAAGAAGTAACAAGAGGAGACAAAGGCTAACTATTCGTTCTCTTCATTACTTTGTTTACTCGCTTCCTACTCAACAAGATTGTGTGGTCCCTGTGCATCGAGCAGCCATTATAAAACATAATGTTAGAATCCAACGAAGGCCGGCATGGGATGGTAATTAGCTTTATCTTGTTTTGCTATTGATAGAACCATCTCAGCCACCGCCGCCTGCTGCAGCGCCCCCAGCTGCCCCTCCCGCTGCAGTACCTCCACCTACTCCGGCACCTCCGCCTACTTCGGCACCTCCGCATGATCTGTCTGTGCCGCCTGCTCTGGTTCCTCCACCTCCTGTCTCATCAGCAATACCACCACCAGCACCACCACCACAGGCACAAACCACAGCGGAACCGTCTCCACCGCCTGAAGCAGATGATGGATCGATGCCTCCGCCACCTCCACCTCCTCCGCCACCGCCACCGCCACCACCCCCTCCCCCTCTGCTAGATTTTGAATTTAGCGATAGCTGCAGGACAATGAGTGGATTTGAGAACTTGAGTGGTACCGGTGGGATTGGTGCTGTTGGTGGTGGAGTTGAAGGGCCGGCAACATTTCTCGACAGTATACTTGCAGGACCACAACTTAAGAAGGTAATTGTCATTTCGATGCTTCAAGAATTTAATATAACCAAATATGATTATTTCTCTCCTGCGAGTGAAGAGTAGATCGAGAAAGATATATACAGAGAGATACTTGTATTTGTCGTATCCAAATTAGTTTACCGCGGGCGTCCTCATAATTTAAAATAAATATTTTATTACGTTATGCAAATCCCACCTTACCTTTGTTTCTTAAATATGGCGGTTCCTTTCAATTTCAAGAGCGCATCTCTACGATCGATATGAAATGTTTCATTTTGAATTATGTAGTTTATCCTCATAAATCATATTCTGTTTCCTTATCTTATTCTCCCAGGTTGAAAGATCAACCGCTCCAAAGCCGCAAGAGGAGTTTACAGGAATGATGGGAAACTTGGTTCGGGCATTAGATGAACGTCACAAGGTCATGCATTCTTCAGGTAAACATGTTACATTGTTTCTTGTTTTCTCTTTGTATGATACAAAGGAAGCAAAAACGAATGTCATTTGAAAAGGAATGAGAACGAATCAGATGAGTACCTTAATAAGTGGTTTCCCCGCAAGTGTGAGGCGTCGACGCGAAAACATTTTTCTGATTGGACAATTACAACACAGTCCTGCTTTGATTGGTCAGAAAATTTAGTAATGACTGTTCTTAAATGCGGTGCATAAATGTATGCAGAATACACCACTACTCATTTTTTTTTTTTGTTTGGAAACTTATTGGTATATTCTGCTCGCACAAGCTCGAGATATTTTAAATCTCCATATGATTCCCTTAAGTACCTCGCTCGCAATACTCCCCATCTGCTTAAACTGATATGTAACCAGAACCATTTGTAACAGGGCTAAATGATCTTAATTTACAAATGCTACACTTGTTCGTGATACACGCCTGCTTACTATAAGTAGTTGATGATCTTTTCCTCAGATGAAGATGACTCTGACGACGAAGATGATGATTGGGATGATGACGAAGATGAGGACTGGTCAGACTAAACATAATCTTAATTTGAAAACTATTTAATATTTCTTCACTGTACAACTTGAGTACTGCTTTAATTATTAAAATCGTATCAAATGTTGGCGTTTCTGAGTATTGACTTAACTTGTAAGTAGAGAATTTGTGGTGGCTTGCTTCATTGAATTCTAACTACATGCATGCAGACACGCACACAGACGCTCTTTGGGCTCGTCGCGCAATCTTCTTCCCTCAAGAACGTCTATTGAAGGGAAGGAAGATTGCGTGATGAGCCCAAAGAGCGTCTGCGTTTCAGGCTAGCGCAATGTAATTTTCTTGAGTTTAGGAATAAATTTTTAACATATTATTTTGCCTTTTGCCACTCAGTGGCGACGCATTGAACTTATATGAGCGATCTCGCTATAAGGGCTTGTAGACACAGCTTTTTCAATGACAAGATTCCTAAGTCTCCCTAACGGCGCTCATTTCTTATATATCTCAAGAGGAGCCTGGAATTGGATCGGAGGAAACTCCACTTAGACGTAAATCGTTCTCTGATTTTCGCACTCAACCACATAAATTAAGGTTTGGGCCAAAGACTTGTAGTATACTAATAGACTGAAATGAAAAACTGCTATGATCTCTGTGAAACCGTCAATTTGAAATGTTCAGAATTCAGGGTCTAATGAAC